CTTTAACAAACCAGTGGTGGAAAATCTATATCTGTATCTGGTCTCCCGGATTGACAGAGACAATCTTAACAACATTAGATTAAGAACAAAGCGGCAAAAAACTCAGAATTTTTGAGCTGCTGCTGTTAAGAAATATAGAGTTTAACTTAGTTTGGTGATTTCCTTTAAATTGCCTCACTCCATTTATTATTCTCTGTCTCCCTCTGCTGGACTAAAAAGGAAAAGCATGTTTTTTATTGTGTCAATTCTGAGTCTCATGTTTCTTTCTCTAAAAGCAGAAATGATCCTTTTTGTGTCTTTTGCAGTATCTTTTCTGCCACACAACCGTGCGGTGGATAAACGGGAAGAAACAGATACCGAGGTGAGCGATTGATCAGTTCAGCATACTTCCACTACATCCAAGCTAGAACTCACTTAAATGCATCCTTCTACTGACAGGACTCGGACCTGAATCCCCTGCAGGACATCAAAGATGTGGTGGACGGCATTGATGGCATTAAGTTGTCGCAGGGCACCACTCTAGGTCTGAGTGACTTTGAACTGATCCGGGTGATTGGGCGAGGAAGCTACGCCAAGGTCCTACTGGTCCGGCTGAAGAAGAATGAGCAAATTTACGCCATGAAAGTGGTTAAAAAGGAGCTCGTCCACGACGATGAGGTGAGAGGCTGGAGTTTGCATTTGGTGATGCGACAATACCGCTAGATTTAGCAAAGTATTTATACTTAGCAGCAGTGTATAAGGTTTAACAGAATCAGCCAATCACATGACAGCAGCTCAATGGTTTTTATGGCAAGAGGAAATATACAATGAATTTCATGGATTAAAATAGTTTAATGGGCAACAAAAGCAGAAGTGAACGCTTGTTAAAGCATGGTGAACCTTATATTAAATGTTCTAAAGCAGAGGAAGAGTACAGCATGGGTCCCTGACCCCCAGATCCTCATCCTCCATCACCTCCCCGCCCCGCTCACGTATGGCATGCGGAGCACTTGTGCATTATGTTAACCAGTGAGAACTTTTCCACGTCTCCGCTATTCCTCCACACATCGCTGTCCACGTACGTCTCCTCCATCCTTCTCCGTCTAAATACGGAGCCGAGCTGTTTTTTGCTCAGTTCCGGTCCGGCCAGGTCAAAATCCGCACTTTCAATTGAACCAAACAGGAAGAGGAACGTCAAGAAGATCCAGTTTGTCAAATTAAAGTATGGTAACAACAGATCGGTAATAACTACAAATTAGAGCATCGTTGTTAAATCTTCCCAAAAACTAAGGCTGTTTAATTCATTGATTTGATGTTACTTCAACATACCAGGAAACAGATTTCTCATCTCAATCAAAATATTTATTTTTACTGAGAGGCTTAAAAGTTTAATCTAATCCAGTGGCAACCTCTAAAAGCGCTTCTGACAACTTCAAAAGAAACTTTTTATCGCAGGCATGGATGAAGAGATGCTGAGTTTGGAAGTAGGGAACAAACATAATTCATATAAACCAGGTATGATCCTAGTTATCGCTGTTGCAAAGATCTACAACAACAAAAAAGAATTTGCTGGATGGTGATGTGGATTTATGTGTGTGTGGGGGGGGGGTGTAACAGAGGATGTGGGATTTCGGAAGCTGCTGTTCATCTACACTCGGCACAATGTTGATAATTTCTGGCTTTCTAGCCAGAAATTAGGAAGCAGGTTTCCTTATCTGATGAGTCTGAAGTTTAGTTGCATCCTTCATGTTGTCGAATCAGAATCAGAATAATCTGTGTTTTAAAGCCTGCAGGAATCAGATATGAAGCGTGTGTGCATGGAACCTTTTAAGCCCAGCTTAGTATGTAGCGTATCGTACTTCACACTAATTTTAAACCCACCAGGAAAATGTTTGGCAGCAACTTATTTTTTGTTGTTGTTTTTTTTTCAGACAAAAAATTCACAAACGAAATCATATTTGATAGAGACAGGGTTATTGATTTCCTAAGGGCAGAAAGGACGGGGTCGGTTATTGGGACCCAAAGGATGATTTACTGGAACTCAAACTCCTGCAGAAGTCATGCTGTTTTTGAAGAGCACCAGAGGAAAGTGAATCACAGTTTAGAGAGATTCTGAAAGAGGAGAGTCTAAGCTTTCAAATAATGTCAAACTTTTACAAATTGAAAAATAATTAAAGAAGATGTAATCATTTGAATGCTGTGACTCTGCAAAGAACATAAAGGACAAAACGGCTTGCAGTGCAACAGAGGCTTCATGTTAACAAACTGCTCTATTTTCTATGTAAAGGTAATTCTATGTAATAGCAAGACATTATATTTGTGTTGCATATGTGCACTGCAGAGACAAACATCTTTCAGGTGTCCAAATAAAATCACCAAAACACCAACTTTAATAGCAAGGCGCACAAAAACTACGTGATAAAACCTAAAAAGTTGACTTTTATGAAACGTTTTTTTTTTTTTTTAATCTCTGCTTGTTTCCTTCTGACTGCAACTTAATCTGAAACTAAGATCTTTGGTAAATGGTAAATGGCCTGTAGTTATATAGCGCTTTTACAAGTCAGGAGGCTTGACCAAAGCGCTTTAATCTACATTCAGTCACACACTGATGGTGGTAAGCTAGATTGTAGCCACAGCTGCCCTGGGGCTCGCTGACAGAAGCAAGGCTGCCGTACACTGGCGCCACCGGGCCCTCTGACCACCATCTGGTCGTTTTGACTGAAGACTGATAAGAAATAATGTTTCCCCTTAATACCGCTTTAAATGACTCCCACAAAACGGAGTCAGTTCTCCGTTGGCATTAAAAAAAGAAAATCTGAGATTTTGGCAGAAACATAATCCTGAAATGATTGATCAGAACTGATAGGGGGATAAATTTCCAATTAAACAACGGAACATAAAGATGGAAGTTAATCTGTAATAAGAGAGGGGCGTGATCTGAAATGAAGATGCTGTGATACATTGAGCTGACTGTATGTGAAATTAACTTAGAATCAATTAAAGAAATAGTCAATTCTGGTAAAACTACCATGGGAGGGAGAAAAAAAAGAGTATTTACGATCAGATGGATGCTGAAGCCTCTAGATATCAACTAAATTTAACGACTTGATTAGATTATTTAGATCCGAGACTGATTTCAAAGAAGAGACAACTTTATTGGAGGACCTATCCAGCAGCGGATCGAGGTAACAATTAAAGTCACCTCCTATTATTATGTACCTATTATTACATTGTGCAACAATGTCAAATATCTTGCAGAAAAAATCGGGACAGTCGTAATTCCCGGCATAAATATTTAATAAAGCAACAGGGATGGAATTGATGTCGCCAGTGAGAAGCACATATCGTCCCCCAGAATCTGCACACATGAATTAGAGATAAATGGAAAGGATTTGCGACCAAGGATTGCGACCCCTTTAGCCTTGGAAGAAAAATTTGACTGGTAAATTTGTGACACCCATGAAGATCTCAACCGTCTCTGCTCATTTGGTTGAATATGAGTCTCCTGAAGAAAGACAATATCGGATGAAAGTGATTTTTAAATGCGAAAACACCTTCGCTCTTTTAAGCCCTTTATTAAGCCCTCTGAAGATCCAGGAGACAAATGTAATAGGACTCATGCCCGGCTTAGAGGTATTATTATCCTGCATTTATCATGGCCTAAAAGCAGCAACTGTATGGCAAGCCATTTTAACATAAATTCAGTTATAACACCTTTACATTCAAGATATCTCAAATTGTTTTATGACTAGACATTTTAGCCATTTAAGCTATCTTAAATTATATTTTAACTAGTCAAGATACCTATTAGAGATTTCTCTAATTACATTCTGACTAGTCGAAATGATGTCAGATTTACCATTAACTTGTATGGAGACGTTAATTTAAGATATCTAGAATTAATTACTGACTATCTGAAACACATTTCAGATATCTACGATTAAATTACAACTAGTCATAAAGTAATTTCAAGATATCTCAATTTTAGTTTTGATTAGTCATAATTCTAATTAAAGATATCTCAAATGCCACCATAATTCATGATATCTTAAATGTATTTTAGGATAGGAGATATGCAGCTTTGACTAGTGAAAACTCAATTATAGACAAAACAAATTTAAAGATATCTTGAATTGTAATTTCGACTATTCAAAATTCCTTTTAAGATATCTCCAAATGAATTAATGATATCTTGGAATTATTCAGCTTTTCCATAAAAAATATCTTAAATTGACATTCTGACTGACAAAATATGTCATGATCTTTTTAATGGGTTTCCAAGAGGATCATTCCTAAAAAAAAAATCCTTACTGTCAGTTTAATCCACAGGAGGAAAAGTTAAATCAGCGCGTGACGCTTTAAATGACAAATCTGGGGTCGTAATATGAGATATCTTTAAAGGAATGTTGACTGGGCAAAATGTTATTTAAGATATCTTGAATTATTATTCTTCCTAATCAGAATGTAAATACAGATAATGTCTGTAATACAGTCAAAATGTGGTTTTGTCTAGTCAAAATGTATTTTAAGATATCTGGAACATAATTTTGGATGGTCAGACGAAACCAAATTTCTGTTAAAAAGGCTTGCCATAGATGCTGACAAGATGAACACAACACAACACAGGAGGTTTAACAAAAAACAAATGAACACAGAATCCCCAAAATTCACCCCAGCCGCAACAGGAACTAAATGGCATATCCCTCAATCTAAAGTGGAGGCTGCCGGATAACAGAGAGAGGAAACCCTAATTAAATAACCTAAACCCAACAAGCCGTGTTTACCTCCACAGGAACTATAGAAATGTTAATGTGCACCAAGGCTTAAATGAGACAATGAGTTGACGAACCGCTCTGCATCAGCCGGTGAAGTAAAAGTTTTCACAGTGTCATTTAAAGACACTTACATTTTGGCAGGAAATACAGGGAACATTTGACCCCAGCTTCCACCAACCTGTTCCTCACGGTGTTGAATGCCTAACGCTGTGCTGAAACCTCCGCCATTTAGTCTGGAAATACGAAGACTTTCTGACCGTGGTACAGCGGCGGGGTTTGTTGTCCACTCAGCCGTTGTGCACTCTGGCTGTGACGATCCCGCCATGATCTTACCTTATATCATTTATGTCCTCCATTTTCCCTTACTCAACAAGAACATTTATGTCCAAGCACCTGTTTTGCTTTGATGGATTTTGTTTTTTAAATCAGTAAATAAACTAAAGACTGTAAACTGATGCGAGGTCGGTCTGCCTGGCCGCCACCTTTCAGTTCAGTTTATTTCTAAAGCGCCAATTCACAACACATGTCATCTCAAGGCACTTTACAGTTCAACCAGATCATCCAGTCAGATTGATTCTATCTAAGGAAAACCAGTTGATTGCATCGACTCATTGACTCTTCAGCAATCCCTCACACTAAGCATGCTTGTAGCGACAGTAAAGAGGCAGCTGGTCGTTATGTAAGATCTTTGCATGTTCAGATGAATTAAGGAAAAAATAAAACAAACTTGAATACAAATTAAAGAATATCAGAAAAAAATGTATTCTAGAAAAAGCTTTTTGTAAATACTAAATAGCAGGGTTATGGTTCCTACATCATTGTTCCAGATATTTTTATAAACCAGCTGAAACAGGAGTCCTCTGTGATTGGTTGTTGGCTAAAATAATAAGTGACAGTTAAGAA